TTCAATACTCAAATTGCCAAGATATATCAAAAACAAAAAGACAATGTGTGTGAGTTTTGTTTACTAATGCTATTCATTTGTTTACCTTGTTTAGTAAGCCGGTCGGGAGTTTGTGAAGCTCCATGGCGAGTCTAGTCCCCGAAGCATCTAAAACAAAAATTAATTGTTACATTTTTAGCGCGTGTAGTAAATAAAGGTCAAAAAGACATACGCAAAATGCAAAAAAAAAAAAACAAAGAATATCGAAAGAAGCGATTCTTATAGACTTAACGCGAGATTTTGAGACCTTTGAGGATAAGCGCGGCGCAAAACAAGGCGATGAGGAGAGAACGAACGAAAGGATGCTTCGTCTTTGCCATTTTTATATGTATATATATATATTATGTTTTTATTTTTAATTTTTTGCCTGATTTGTTTGTGAACAATGTTTGATAGAGGGAAAAAAAGGTGAATGTAAGGTAGCCTAAAGGAGAAAAAGGGAAAAAAAAAAAAAAAAAAAGGAAAATATGAGAAGAGAATGTAGATAGGGAGATTGTGGGATTGAATTGAAAAGAAGTTTGTGGAGAAATACTGACCATAAGGAGATAAATTCTGGCTATATATGCAAAAGCCTACTGCAAAAAAATTACAAGAGGTCCCCAACTGAGCCTCCATTAAATAAAACAAAAAAAAAATAAAAAATAAATGATATAAAATAATAAATATATATATAAATGATAAATGAAGTATTTTTATACAGTATGTGAGTAAAAAAAACACTGTTCAAATGATTAATTTTCTCCTTAATTGTAATGATTTGACTTGACAATGTTTGTTCATGTTCATGTAGTTTTAAGGAGTGGACTAGTGGAAATGGATGTTTGTAATAGTTGATGAAAGTGCTTTTCAATCTTTGTAGCCACCTATATAAATATGAAAAATGCTACAATCCCGATACGGAACCATTCCGTTGAGACTTGTAATCGTTAAATCCCAACGAAATGGTTTCGGAACGGGAAGTAGGCTTACCCAACTTATATACACTTTTTTTTTTTGGTGCAAAGAAAGAGGCTAAAGCCTCAAAGGTTCAGGTCACCCACATTACGTGAGTATGACACGCCGATAACATCATGAAACAACCATTGTCGAAGAACGGCTGCAAAATTCGCCTCGCGGAACACGTGTTTCACCTTAACTTGCCAAGAACGGCTCAGGAGATCCTTAATTCCCATAATAAGTCCCGAATGCACTCCCGGTATATCTTCAAACGATTCCGAAAACCGCACGACGCTCGCATTATCAACCTCCGCCTCAATCTGACGAAAGCCCAGGTCCCAAGCCAATGAAAGGCCCCTAAATAGGCCCCATAATTCAGCCGCCATAATCGAACAGTAGCCTATGTTCAGTGTAAAACCTCCTAGCCAATTTCCATTCTCATCCCGGAGGAGACCACCTGCATAACCCAAGCCCGACACCCCATTATACGAGCCGTCAGAATTTAACTTCACCCAATCAGGCGGAGGCCGCATCCACCGAATCCAACGAGGGACACGAAGGTGGCCCGTCCCTCCCAATTTCTGCGCAGCAGCAAGGGATGTGGAGAGCCCGTCAATATACGAGAAAATATCCTTCTTGCATACCTGTAAAGTCCGTTGCTTTCCCTGAAAAATGAATTCGTTGCGCCACTGCCATAGCTTCCACACCACCACACCAAAAGTTCTGTCCCAGGCCTGACCAAGATCCTTCGAATGTAGCAGATTGAAGGAGATCCATTGTTCTAGTTGCAGCCGAAAAAATTGCCCAGCAGCGGCACACGGCAGGAGACTTCGCCATATTTCTTTAGCCAGAGAACAGTCCCGGACCACGTGCAAAGCCGTCTCCACCGCAAGGCCGCACACGATGCAGACGTCCGAGCTCGTCAAGTGCCGACGGCAGCGTTCGGAGTTTGTGAGAAGCCGATTCCTCTTGAGCAACCAGAGAAAGGTGCGAATACGCGGAGGGCCCGGCCATGTCCAAATTGCTGTCCACAGAGCCTGCGAGGACGTCGGAGCTGCCACATCGAGAGAGTTATAAGCAGATTTTGTGGAGAAAGCACCTGTTGATGAGCAGCTCCAGTACAGCTTGTCACTTCCACGGGATGCATTGGGTGCCGGGATCGCCGCTATCTGTAGTAAAACAGCCGCCGGAAGCAAGTGCGAAAATTCAAGCCACTTCCATTCACCCACATCCGAAGTAAAATAGCAAACGGGGTAATCGCGCATGGCCCGAGGAATTACGCCTGTAGCTATTGAGCTTAAATTGATACCCGATGGGAGCCAATTATCTGTCCAGAATTTCACAGTTCGGCCATCACGGATAGACCATCGTGTGCCTGCCATTACTCGCGGCCATATTTTCCGGACAGATTGTAAAACCGGCGAGCACGGTCCCCGATGACCCGAGTCGATATTAAACGGTTGGTCTCCATACTTAGCTTTCCACACACGGACCCACAGCGCGTTTAGGTTGGGCAAAAGATGCAATTTTGCCCGACGTCCTCGCAGGCTTTCCATACTTAGCTTTTTGGGAAAATGGTGCAATTTTGTCGTTAAACAAACAGCGCGTTTAGGTCTCCATACTTAGCTTTCCACACATGTCCAAATTGCTGTCCACAGAGCCATGTCCAAACGGTTGATTCAACACTTTTTGAGTACTTTTTGAGTTTTGAAAGTCAGCTGGATATTGTGACTAATTACAAATATTGTGATTATTCACTCACTAATATTGAGATTATTCACCCAATAAATTATATGTCATATCACATTCAAGACAATAATATATATGAATCATTGTGTTATTCTATTGACACTCATCCTAGGTGGACTGATATTCCATTAATTAATTGTCATGTGCTAAAATTTATGTACCACAAAATTAATAATTTAAGTCATGTAATTTAAAATTTTGCTGCAATTTTAGTATTTTTTATCGTAAAAAATGGGAATTTTAACTGTCAAAGAACTGAATTGCAACAAAATTTTAAATTACAAGACTTAAATTGTCATATGTTATTACGATCTAAAATTTTTAATATCATAAATCTAAAATTGTAATTTAATCTTAAATAAATTGATTATAAAACTAAAAGGGATCAAATTTTTTAAAAAACAGTTAACAAAGAGTATGCATAATCTCCCGCGAAAAATCTTCCCAACTTGTGAAGAATACCAATCCCTATTGCTCCCATCCAAACAATCCCTTTCCCTTCTCTCCCAATCTTCTCAATCCCCACACCATTTTCCCAAAAAGCAAAGAATCACTCATTCTCATTCATCATATAAACCCTAATCAATCTCATTAATCCACCACAAACAACACATTTTATTTTTTATTTTTTCCACAAAGATAACAACTTTTCTTATCTTTTCATTTTTTTTTAAATCCCGAAAATGGCCTCTGAACAATCGCCCGACGAAGCGCGAGTCGGCCACTTCAAGTACTCCAAACGGGCCGTGCTGAAAACGATCGTGGGCCGCTCAGACAACGGGTTGGGCGTCATCGGGCGGAGAGTTGTGGTAGGGGGTTGGGTTCGATCCTCCCGCGAGTTCAAGAAAGACGAGCCCAAACCAGCTCCTGGGCCCAAATCGGGCCTCGAGCCCAAGGACATCACGTGTGTCGAGGTCCTCCAGACGAGGATGCCGTTCTTGAGGTCCATCATAAAGGCTTTCGGTGGAGACCGTGCGCGAGACAAACTCGACAATGCCATTACTCTGCCGAAGCCACCTCGGCCATCGATCTCGATCTTGGCAATTAGCGATGGTTCGTGTGTCGCTAGTTTACGGGTATGCGCGCGATTTTTTGGTCAAGGGCACTTCTTTAAATTTAACTACTAGGCAAGTCCTGTTTGTTTAACGGCATAGCAATTTTTAGTTCCAAAGTTCCAACATTTTGTCTTTTGGTTCTGTGATTTAATATTCTGCTGCAATTTCAGTTAACTGAATTGCAACAATTTTCTAAATTCTCATATTTTTTATTAACAATTTAAGTCCTGTAATTTAAAATTTTTGCAATTTAATCCTCAAATGACTGAAATTGTAGTGAAAATAGTAAATCACAGACTAAAAGGCGAAAGGTCGGAACTTTTGGACTAAAATTGCTATAGTGTTAAACGAACATGACTAAAATTGCATTTTTGCCAAAAAAAAAAAAATACTATATCTATTTGGTTTGTCTAATATTGTTTCTTGAAAATTAAGGAACCCTTTCAAAAAGAACTCTTTTTTTTTTCTCTCTTTTTTGTGGCATGAAGATTGACTAGATTTGTGATGGAACAGGTTGTGGTGGACTCGGACTTAGCTCCACCGAGTCAAGTTATGCCAACGGGCACTTGCATTTTCGTCGAGGGTGTTTTGCAAAGTCCTTCATTGCAGGATAAGGAAGTTATTGAGCTCAAAGCAGACAAAATTCTTCATATAGGCACAGTTGACATGGACAGATATCCCTTGTCGAGAAAGCGTCTGCCTTTGGAAAGTTTGCGCGATTGTGCTCATTTTCGACCGCGTACAACAACTGTAAAAATTCGACAAAATCTTGGACTTATCTTTCTACATTACAAGCTTTCCATCATTATAATATAAGGATTATTAGAAATATCGAATTTTTTACTAGTGATTTGTCCAAATATTATCAAGTTTCTCTTAACAAAAAATGTTGAATTTTTGTAGCTATTATTTAGTTCTCATCAAATCTTATGAATTTTTGTATTGTAAATACATCCATTCTTGAATTGTTATTACTCATTTTCCTCATGGGAAAAAAAAAAATCAGGTGGCCTCTGTAATGAGGATAAGAAATGCACTCACACAAGCAACTCATCGATTCTTCCAAGAAAATGGGTTCCTTCACGTGCAAGTCCCGATAATCACGAACACAAACTGCTGGGGGTCGAAAAACGAGAACACGTTCCACGTAACCACACTTCTCGACCGAACGGAAAAAACGGACGATCAAAACTCGGTCGACGATTTCGAGACTGTGAAGCTCGAAATCATTAAATCCTCAATCCAAGAAAAGGCCCGAAAAATCGAGGAGCTCAAAAGAAGCAATAGCAACAAGGAAGCTCTCGCAGCGGCCATTCATGACTTGAAGAAAACGAACGAGCTAGCTTTGCAGTTGGAAGCCAAACAGAGAAGTAAAATTGGAAAATCAAGCCACCGGACGAGTCGAGCTAGTAACTTGCCTTGTTTAACCGTTTCGGGCCGAATGCATCTTGAGAGTTACGCTTCGGCCCTTGGAAATGTGTATGATTTTGGGCCGAGGTTTGTTGCAAAGAGGCCCGACTCGAAGAAGTTGTTAGCTGAGATGTGGATGGCCGAGCTCGAAATGGCTTTTTCTGAACTAAAGGTTTTCTTTTTGAACTTCACTTTCCAACATTTGGAGGGAGTAAGCTGTAATTATTTGAAATTTTTTGTCTTGTTGATGTTATTTTTTTCAGGATTCCATGGATTGTGCAATCGACTTTTTGAAATTCGTGTGCAAATGGATTTTGGATAACTGCTCGGAAGATCTGAAGTTCGTTGCGAAGCGTGTTGATAAACTTATAGTTGATCGGCTTCAATCGATCGTTACGTGTCCTTTCGAAAAAATTTCTTACACAGAGGCAGTTAATTTCTTGAAGCAGGTAAAAAGTAACAAGTAATAATGGCTCCTCAAATTTTTTTTTTCTTGATTTAGTAACAAAACTACCCCATTATTTGAGCCAAATTGCAAAAGTGGGGCGCAGTTGTCTTCCGAAAATTACAAAACACCCTCTGATAATTTGTTATTTCTTACAAATTTCACCATAAAGGGTGAATTCTTTGTAATCTTGAAAGATGTGACTTGGGGGTTTTGGTAATTAAGCAAACTTCAGGGGCAGTTTCAAAAACTTAAACTACTTGGAGAAAACTTGTGAATAATCAAAAGGCTAAAACCTTTACTGAGATTCTTCATCTTTTGACAGGTCTCAGAGAGGAAATTCGAAACAGAAGTCGAATGGGGAGTTTTCCTTAGCGAAGAACATGAAAGGTAAACGAAAAGATTCAACAATCAGAAGCAACCGTATCATACCGATAATTGTAACATTTTTCAACTTTGTTGATGGAAAAAAAAAAAAGTACTATTTGATATGAATCATCAGTCTCATATTATTACAATGTATGTTGGCAGCTATTTAACAGATGAAATATACAAAAAACCGCTCGTAATATACAATCACCCGAAAGAACTTAAGCCGTTCAATGTCCGAATAAACGACGATGGGAAAACAGCTGCATCATTTGATATAATCTTACCAAAGGTAAAAAAAAAAAAAAAAAGACATCAAATCTTAGCAAAGGTAATAATATGCTTTACGTAAAATATTTTTCGCTTGATCGATTTCAGGTCGGGACACTTATAAGAGGAAGCCAAACCGAGGAGCGCTTTAATATGTTGATCACAAGGTGTGGAAAAAAAAAGGCAACAAAATCGAATTTTTTCGAATTTACGATTAAGTAAGTAATAAATCTCTGTTTTGAACAGGATCAAAGAATTTGGCTCGGACAGCAGAAAGCATTACGAGTGGTACTTAGAGCTTCGAAAGCACGGACATGTCGAGTGTTCGGGTTTTAGCTTCGTGTTCGATCCATTGGTTATGTATGCCACTGGAATTAATGATGTTAGAGATATTGTTCCATTTCCAAGGAGTTTTAGCATTGCTCAGTAATTGAATTATCAACATGGAAAAGGGAAAATGAAGAGAGAAAAGAAAGAAAAGAACAAGTTGATCATAATGTGTATGTGTAGCAAATTCTGTTAAGAGTTTGTGGATTGTAAGAAAATTGGTAAATTATACTGCATACACATGATATTGAGTTTGTGAGAGATTTAAGTGACATGAGATTTAAGTGCATTGTGGATTTCCAAATTAAAATTTTCATGCATCTATTTTTTTTTTTTTTTAATTTTTACATTGATTTGCTTAAAATTATGTTGTTTTTCTTAGAATTTAAATATATGCATATTTTAACAACAAAAAAATTTAGAGAATGCCCTTAATATTTTATTCGATGAAAGAATTTGATTTAATTTTTTTAAGATTTAGAAAATAAATATTAGTATTTTGCATATAAAATATAACTGAATATATTTTACCTAGTACTATTATCAACTTAATAAGCACCTTTAATGTTCGTTACACTCTACAATTTCCTTACTCCGTATTTATTTAATTTTTCTAAAACATGTCTTTAAACATTGTCGACAAAATTGTACTTAATTAATATAAGGCAAGATAACTATAGTAGATGGATTGTAGCCATTAAATTGAATATATAAAGGTATATAAAAAGATTGTTGAAAAATAATTTTTTATATTAAATAAATCATCCACAAAAATAATATAAAAAAGTATATAAAAAGTTTGTGTTAGACTATTTTCATAATTTCTTTTTTATGGTAAATAAAATTAGATAGTTTGTCTTATTTTATATTTACGATAAATAGATATTTGAAAGGAATATCGTTGTGATGGTGTTGGAACTTCGAGAAGTTGGTTAAAAGGAATATGGTTGTGACAAATAGATATTTGGAAGGAATATCGTTGTGATGGTGGAAAGTTTGTCGAAAAGAATATGGTTGTTTGAACCATCTTTATAATATTAATGGTAAATAAAAGTTAAATGTTTTTTTATGGTAAATGTAAATTAATAAATTAAAATTAGAATACCAAAATTCGACGTGACGGTGTTAGGAGTTCTGTCGTTGTTTTGAATTATCTTTATAATATTAATGGTAAATAAAAGTTAAATATTTTTTTTTTTATGGTAAATGTAAATTAATAGATCAAAATTAGAATATCACGTTAGTGCTGAAACTGCAATATCACGTTAAAATTCCCTCAATCCTAAACATATTCTTCCAAATTATAAATAAGCACACGTCTAACCCAGCTATATGGTGACGTTTTTTCTGCTACTAGCAATTCAAAAGTTATTCATTTGTATCCCCAAAACCAAACATCTAATCT